TCTCCCTTGCTGAGGCTTCCCAAAGTAAGACGTGCCTTGGTCCGTGTCAGTCCAGAATCGAACGACACATTGCTGGAGAACCAAAAGCTGAACTCCCTTTGGCGACTTAATGACCCCTTCAAACACCAAAAAAATTTTCTCGTGTGATTTTACCATGAATAATTGTATGCATAGGAAATCGCCTACAATTTTCTTTTACACACTCCGAACAATGGCCAGAAAAAAATAATTTCCAAAGAGAATTCTTGGAAAATGATTGACTAATCATGTCGCGCAACTAGGTTGTCTGAGAAATGGCAATATGAGTGATTTGAAGGGTTTTTGTCGGACATGATGAAAATCGGTCCTCAACATGGCACGTATTCTGCAAGAACTTTAATTTTGCTCGGAATACTTTTCTTGATGGTAGTGAGAGGAACGCTTAGGGACCCTCACCTTCCAACGACCTCAGTTGTTTCATGGCTACGTGATTAGATAGAATGGCTCTTCCCAAGAGAAAAAGACGGCCCTCTGTTATCAACAGTTCACGATAAAAAAATATCGAAATCGGGAGTTTTTTCCGGAATGAAAATTGAACCTGATCCGCAGGTTTTTGGAAGCACCTCTAGAATCGTTTTTTGAAGACATATTCCGCGACAACCGGATGGGCGGAGACTCACAACCAGTTCTCTTTTTACTGTGCCTCTCCAATACAGTAAGGAGGAAGGACATCAAAGAGTTCGAGTTTATTTTTTGTCCTGTCGGTGATTCTAGTACCGGTTTATCAGCCTTGAGCGGATGGATGCATGGGCGCAGTTTGTCGACGGGGGGGGGGCATTCGGCTTTTCATAGATGTGCCGACCCATCTAGGTAGCCTTTTCTCGAGTTGACACGTTTTAGGATGGTGGCTAGACGATCTTACTCCAGCTTCACAGGCGTTCACAAGTTTTACCATGGTGAGATTCGTAAACCGGAACTAGGGAAGCAATGTTAGTACAAAATGCCCCCCCGTCGCTAAACAGCGCCGGATGCATGTTGAAATGCAGTGGATGGGAGCGGGCCGTTACTGATTGGGAGGGCTCCGAAAGACCATTTGGCCACACTCCGATTACCCCCTCTACCACTAACTTGGCAGTGAACGCCTGTCTCAGCCATCGTGCCCACTGCCTTTAACCAGAACTGTCATGCCTGGGAAAGAGTTAAATGTAAAAACAAGGCTCTTCTTCCATAATTTCCTTTCCTTCCAGAAAAGGAGCATTAGAGCGACATGAACTTGCGCTAAATGGGGCTCAATTCGAGCCACCCGTCCTTGCATAGGAAAACTCCTTAGCCACGGCACCTTTTCCTCAAATTTACATTCGAAGTTTTTATATTCATCAGCGATTCCATCCTTGGATTATTACTTGGAATCCCTTGGAAACTAGTCGATTTATTTCTGAGAAGGGATTTTAGGGCAGTGAATTCCTCCCCATTTAGCAGAGTAACACTTCGCACCTTCTTACACAGGGAAATGCACGTAACAAGTGCATTTTCAGGAGAGCACCCATGCTGCTTTCACACATCTGTTGCCCCCCCCCTTTGTCGCTCATCGAATTTCCCTTAATTTATCCTGAAACTCGTGCGTGTATGCATGAGCGATCCGAATTACGAAAGTCCTATGGCAGCCAGTCGGCGATAAAAAAAGACCCTTTGTTGCCGATCTGCACTGGCAAGCCTGCAATTGGAAATGATCCCTCGGGAGTTTCCCCATCACACCCGCACACACCTTGCTACCACCCACTGAAATTGGCATTGGATCCGACAGCACTCAATCGCTCACGATTATAGCTCAATCGGGGCGCTATCGGGGTCCCACTGGGACCCGTTTGGACTCACCAACGATCGTGCCGATTCCGACGTTATTCTGCGCGATGAACACTCCGATAACTGAAGTGAAGAACTCGGGAGCTGATCCTGAATAGAAAGGAACTCTGATAAAAACGCAGAAATATTATTTCAAAAATAATAAAAAAAAACTAAATTCTATACAATAACAAATTTATCAACAATAAAAGACACAAAATAAGGGAAAAATAGAATAAAGATTCACAATTTATAAATTATTTCAATAAAGATTCGAAAAAAGCCCTGAAAATACGTCTGAAATGCGGGCGGGGTTTTCGATGGGCGCTGTCGTGTTTATTGGTGTAGTTTCTCAAATTGGCGCCAATGGTGGCGCCACTTGACGCCACCCCCTTTTTTGATTTTTGATTTTTGGATCTTGGGTAGCAATAGTTGATAGTCCAAAAACAAATTAAAAGACAGTCCAGGGTGGCGGGCTTGTCGGCGGCACAGGCATGCATGCTTACGAACCATTGCCAAGACCCGTGGCGCGACGAGTTCGGCCGTGTTGCGACAAAATTTGTCGCACAAAGCTAAAGGGCCTCTGGTTTCCCCTTAAACTTTTGCTCAAGAAATGTACGGAAACTTCTTGGTCAGCGTCAAATCGGTAGGAATTTCACGGACAGCCGTTCGCAGTCATAGATCCGTCGAACTGTTCAAAGGCATGTGAAAGACTTACTGACAGGAGGTTAATTTTTTTTTTTCCTTCTTGCTCACTCTAGCTTCACCGTGAATGATTTGGCTGATGAGCACCGACATTTTGCGCCGACGAGAAAAAAGGCCGTACATACGGCCAAGGTAGCAATCGCGGAATTTGATGGAACATGCAGAACAAGCTTTGAGAAACCTTGGACTGACAGCTAGGAGTGAAGGAAAATTAGGGTTTCTTGTGTCGCTGCGGCTAACTGTTCTTGCGATTACGGTTTTCCACTTTGGCTGGCGAGCTTCGCACGGCCTGATCTGTAGCGTGAATGTCACGAGTTCTACTGAGTTTTAGTAACATTTGGCTTTTGGGGAGAGGAAGGTGGGAGGGGAGGGGGAGCAGACCACCCCGAAGCCCACTCCTAGTCAGACCTTGAAAGTGAGAGGAAGTAAAAATAATAAGGGAAAGTTCCGCATAGGTGTAGACAATTACCCCTCCTCCCCTATCCCCACTCCCCATCCTCCTCGCCGCCTAAGTGGGGCGGGACCAAACCGGTGGGGCCCTTATGTCGTCGGATTCGGAGGAAGTAGTCTTAGGTAAGCCAAACTTGTAGCCAGAAGAGGACTTAAAGGCACAGTTCGCGACCGCAAATTGCGGGAAACGGAACTCAAATAGGCACAAAAAAGTGCTAAGTATCTGATTAGCGGAGAAAAGCAGCAGAAAAAGCAGTCCGAAATGTTATAGAGGAAGATAACATAGTGTTACTAGCTAGTAGCTAGCAGCCGGTGAGGGTCGGCATGGGCCTAAGGGGTGTCCATGGGCCTAATTAGTCAGCTTCTAGCGGAGTTCTTGCCGTTTTTCACATTTTGAAAGTAGCGCAGCCTCAAAAATCGCCTTCCGGATCGTCCGACACATTTGAGAGGTCATAGCCTTATTTTATCGCGGAATGTGCCTTTAAGCCCTGACATCAGCCAGAAAGGTGAGCTGGTATTTACTACAGGGCGTATTCGAAGAGTTCCTGGGAGTTTATATCGCACTTGAGGGGCAATGCACGCTCGATCATATGGGCGAAACCGCTACTATTTTGGTCCCTCCCCTAGGTGCGGCCCTCTTGTTTGACATCTCGGAGAGCCCTTCAGTGAGAAGGGCATAGGGGAATAAGGGCTCCTTCTAAGGGACCATTGTGTAATGGGCCTTTGACTAAGGCAAAGGAAAAACTCAAAACAGTGTCCAGTGAAAATTACGAGAGAAAACATATGAGAATCAATAATAATTGAATAAAGGTCCCAAAGCCCCAAGCGCTATAAAAAAACGCACCTCCAGCGGCCATGAACGTTGCTCCGGCAACATCGTCGGAGATGGCAAGCTTTTCGGTGAGCACAGCCAACGATGGCACAAAGAATTCATCGCATACGATCGCTAACGAGACGAACATGTAGATGAGACCACAAACATGAAAGTAGTACTGAAACGGGACAGATTAATCGATTGGATATTAGGGGGGCTGGGGGCTGAAAATTCTCCCTTCATTAGTCGGGCAGGCTAACCGATTCAGTGATACCTGCGATTTTCCTAATCATTCCCAAGGAAGGATTAATGCCCTCAAGTCCTAAGCCATTCTAATTCTGATAATCCTCACGTCATCATGGATCTTCGGAAATCCTTCTCAGGGTATAGTATCAAGTTCAGGGCACAAGCGCTGTTCTGCTTGGAGGGGGCATTCTGCACTTTCTCTAGTTTCTCTTGTTGATACATGCCAACTAGCAGGGTAACACTTATAAATTTGGGGCAAGCTGCGAAATGGTACAAGAGGGCCATTTTGATTATACAATTCCACTCGGTCACCAAGGGGCCGATATAAGCCCTCAGCTGAGTTGCATTTGGATGCCCCTCTAGCCGAAACTGCACCAGGGGCACGCTGCCTCATTGATAGTCACGTTTTACCTCAACCCATGGTAATCCGCCGCCAGGTGGCACAGCCCCTTACACTCCCACTGCAATTTCGAACTTTCAAGCTTTAAAATAACCCACTTCATTGGTCCGGGAGTTGTTGGCCGCAAGGAAGCAAACCTGAGACCGATAGTTTGTAACCTAGAAGAGAGATTATGGGGGGGGGAAACGTTTGTCATCAAGCAAGCTACTTATGTTCCTCCTTCTGGCCGATCCTAATACAATCCTACTGGGGAAGTCCCAACGTAAACGATACTACCCCTGAGAGATTCCTGATGTTCGTCACCGGGGCAATATAATTTTTCGAAGTGTCGAACTTGAACAATGTGTTCTGCTGCCCCCCCCCACCAAAATTTTGCAGCGCCCAGTCCTGTCGTTTCTTTCAATCCCCAATCGCCGTGAAAACATCGCGGAACTATCAAGGATTCCCATTGACGATTCACTTGACATGTGGCGGCTGTTTACAATTTTTTTAATGCTCGTTCTGAATCCCGGCAAAGGTGGCAGCAGTTCGTCATTCTATGACAGACATTCGCAATTCTAATGACAATCGCTTCTTTTCCTTGGACAACTCGTCTAGGCCCACCTAAATCAACTTCTCCTGTAGAATATTATTCGAAGGATTGACAGCATTTTAGAGTGAAGCGCTCAGTTGAAATCCTTAAAATCCCTCCTAGGCAACTGGAATGATGACTTACTTCTCTACCGAATATGGTAGTAGAGGCGCTAGATAGTGTTCCAGTGAAGAAATCAGAACAAAAGGCTCAAAACGAGCGGAAATCTGCCCTAATTCATGCGATTGCTAAGACGCTTTGTGCGCGCCCATCATTGTGGAGCGCGCTACAGAGCTCGTGCTCGGGAGCCAGTGTCCTTATTCAAAAGGGCTTCACTCTATACGCGGGGAGACGGGCAAGAGAATCGTAATTCTGCCGCTCCGCCGCGCGCGGCGATGGACGCGGCCTTTTGTGAACTAATGTTAGCCTATCCATTAGAGCACCGGATTTCACGTGGAGCTACGAAACTGTAGATATTTATGACTATTTTCCGTTCTACGTCGCCTGCTGCCGCCATCTACGACCTGGACCATCGCCATTTGCGGGCGCGGTCGCACGCGTCGCCCATTAGCGCTGCGAATTACGATTCTCTTGTCACATATCCCCTGCCATTAAAGAACAGCCCTAAATTCTTGGGATAGGACCGTAAATGTAATGAAGATGCGTTTCGAGGGCTACCTTTTTCATTGGAGGACGTATTTTGCGCTCGACAGCTATTTTTTCACGCCGCGGGTGGGATTGTTGTTGATTTTTCCCCTCTCACATGCGCTATACAACTCCCGAGTTGGCACGTTTTGGACTCAGGGTACAGCATCGTTGGGAGAATCCCATCGGGCTGTCTTACGTTCTTTTCTAAAGGGGGTTGGTATTGGGCCGATGGGAAGGTATCTGGTCTTGAAGATATTCCTTCAACCTTCCCTCTTCCCCCCCCCCCCAGTTGGCAGCACCGTCGAAGTCTCATATAACAGCTTTCGGTAGTT